CCAACCGCAAACTCCCACCTAGGTAGGGCAGAGTTTGCCTGCCACTGGGAAGAGGAAAAAGGACGCTGAGAAAGCCTCCCACCTGGGCCTCAGGCATTCAGGGACCGGGCCTGAGTGCGGTCCCGGCCAGACCAGGAAAACCGAAGAGTGTCCCTGACACCCCCACCCCACCGCCGGCCTCACGTGGAGTTATAAAGGCAACGATGTGCCCGGCAGTGGCAGATGTACTGGACTGAGGACGCGGGAGGGGTGCTGGGAAACACCACTGTGCACAAGGCAGCCGCAGGAGTTTGCATTCTGTGCTGAACGGAAGGTACCTACAGCTACAACAAAACACAACTCCAGTCCACCTACAGGGTAGGCTGAATTAAACGCCACCCCACTCACTAACGGCCTGACAGAAAAAGGTCAATTTTCAGTTATAAATACTATTTACCTCATTTTCTACTTTCTTTCACAAGCAATGCCCAGAATTCAATAAAAAAAGAAATTACGAAACATACAGAGCAGCAAGAAAAAAAATCCACTGTCAAGAGATTGTTTAATAAAGAGAACCAGACCCAAAAGTTTAAATCATCGGACGGTAACTTTAAATTAACCATGGTTAATATGTTAAAGGATTTAGTGGAAAAAGGAACACATACACAATCAGATTAGAAATTTCAGCAGATAGAATGAAGTTATAAAAAACAATGAATCAAACGGAAAGCAAAATACTTGAATGAGATCTAAAGATCAGTAATAGTTCCACGTTAATTTCCTGATTTTAATGGTTTTATTAATGTTAAATAGAAGAACTTCCTTGTTTGTAGGAAATATGCACTACAAGCATTAAAGAGAGGGTAACGTAGGCACTTCTAGTCAAATGATTTAGGAAAATAAGTTCTTTGTATAATACTTGGAGTATTAATTTTTAAAAAGTCTATGAATAAAAGCAACAATCGTTATTGCTCTCTATGGAAAAACCATGTAAGATCTTAGAATCATAAAATTTAGAAGATAAAAAAGAACCTTTGGGTTCCAATCTAACAGACATATTAAAACTTAAGACTATCTTTGGTTGTTAACCAAGGCTACCCAAGGAGTTACACATCTCTAAAACATCAAGTACACTTTATTGAATCCACTGGCTTTTAAAACACAATCTGGACCCTTCTGTGTAAGCTTAATACAGAGTAGTTCTAGGGGAGGAGATTCGTCTTGTTACAAGCAGATTGTAAAAAGGGTAATGAGCAGATCAAGGGGAGTAGTGAAGAGGGCCAAGGTAGGAGACGTCAATTAACTTATAGCTTCCCTGAGACAACACAATCTAGAGTAAAATGTAACAGTGAGTCATAAAATAATTCATCGAGCGCTTGCTTCAGCAGCACATATACGAAAATAATTCATTGATAAAAACAAGAAAACTCTTAAACTCTTGACTCAGTGCAAAATAAAACATCCGTTTAAACTGTTACATACAAATGGGTAACTTAACCACGTTGCAAACTTTGATTTCATTCACAAACATATTTTTTGATATGTTGCAGAGACTGCAGAAATCTCCTGCAGTACAAGTGAAATTAAAGACCCGCGCCACCCCACGTCTTTCCTTCCTGCCACACTGTAAACCCCACAAAGTCACTGTAAGGAGGAGCGAGTAAATGACAGGATGAAAGGCTGGTGGAAATGGGGAGGGGGACGATCTCTGGAGGCTTCCTTCTAACGTGCTTCAGTTCAAGGTTGGCTTCCTGAGTATACTTGTTTTCTCCTCCGACGCTAAAGAGATGAACCCGTCTACTGCCCTTTAGACTGCTACCAACCACCAGCACATCTCTCATGGCAACCCTGTCCTCTTGGCGGAGGTGGGGGATACAACAGATTTCAGTAAGCTCCACCAATGCTTCAAAGGAAAATACCCTGCATATTTTATCACAAGACTTGGAACTTAACACTCTGAGGAGCCGATGAAATGTGATCATGGTTCTAGTCCTAAGATCTGTTCCTCCTTCCCACCTCACTGCTGTCAGGTGTCATTACTGACCTCAGCCTCAGCTGGTCCCAGCAAAAAGAAAAAGTCCACTGAACAATGAAGAAATGAAGAAAGCAAAAGAAAGCAAAAGAGATTCGGGGCGCCTGGGTAGGCTCAGTCGGTTAAGCATCTGACTTTGGCTCTGGTCATGTTCTCACGGCTCGTGGTTCGAGCCCCGCATCAGGCTCCGTGCTGACAGCTCACAGCCTGGAGCCTGCTTCCGATTCTGTGTCTCCCTCTCTCTCTGGCCCTCCCCCACTCACACTCTGTCTCTCTCAAAAAAAAATAAACATTAAAAAAAAGAGAGAGAGATTTAAAAATACCTTGAGATAGACGAAAATGGAAATAAACCATAATGAAACTTGCGGGATACAGCAAGAGCAGTTCTAAGAGGGAAGTTCATAATGATAAATGCCTATCTCAAGAAAACAAGAAAAATCTCAGATAAACAACGTAACTACACCTCAAGAAACTATGAAAAGAACAAAGGTAGTAAAAGGAAGGGGATGCCAAAGATTAGAGAGGAAATAAAAAGACAATATAAAATATCAATGAAACCAAGAGCAGTTTCTTTGAACAGATAGACCGAATTGACAAGTCTTTAGCTAGACTCACCAAGAAAAAGACAGCACTCAAAAAATGAAATCAGAAATCAAAGAGGGGACCTTACTACTGATACCACAGAAAGACAAAGGGTAAGAGAGTCCTATGAACAATACATGCCAAGAAACTGGACAACCTACATGAAATGAATAAATTCTGAGAAACATACAACCTTCCAAGACTGAATCATGAAGAAATAGAAAATCTGAACAGACCAATTACAAGTAAGGAGACTGAAGCAGTAATCAAAAACCTCCCAACAAACAAAAGTCCAGAAGACGGCTTCACTGGTAAATCCTACCAAACATTCAAAGAGACACTGATACCAATCCTCAAATTCTTCCAAGAAATAGAGAACTCTCCCAAACTCATTTTATGAGGCCAGTTTTACCCTAATACCAAAACCAGACAAGGGCATCACAAGAAAAAAAAATTATAGGGGTGCCTGGATGACTCTGTCAGTTAGGCATCTGACCCCTGATTCGGCCCAGGTCATGATCTTATGGTTCATGGGTTCCAGCCCCGCGTTGGGCTCTGCCCTGACCGTGTGGAGCCTGCTTGGGATTCTCTCTCTCTGCCCCTCCCCTGCTCGCACG